AGAGAGAGAGAGAGAGAGAGAGAGAGTGAGAGAGAGAATATTGATTTCAAATTTTGCCTATTCAGATCTATAATCAGAATCATTAGAAAAAAAGACAATCGAAATTCTTTGGCTACATAAACATTTTATTAAACGGACAAGAGAAACTGCTGCTGTGTGGAAAGACAGAGAGAAAGTAGGACAGAGGAAGAAAGAAAGACATATGATCTGGACAGTGGGTGGTTGGCGGGTGCTCTGGTGTGGTTTGCTCCTTCTTTCCTATCAAACATCTATCGTCCTTATCTCCATTTCTTCTTTTTTATGTTTGTTACTCTCTTGTAACACCTCTAATCCTCTGGCGCTCATATGACCTTATGCAGTTGCGAGCGCTGTAAAAACCTCTACTAAAACTAAAACATATGACCAGGACAACTTTGCCACAAATAACACAACGAGAAAAGGCGAGCAGATCAAGAAGACAGGACAGACAACATGAAGAATTAGGTACTGTGATCGTCAATGTCTGCTCCAGACCTGACACCTGGAGAAGAAGAATCCTTCACAGGCCGAAAGTTGGCTACCTCTCTCTTTTTTTGTTGTTGTTTAGTAAGTGTTTTACGGCGCTCGCAACTGCATAATTTCATATTAGCACGCGAGACACGCCAAACATTTTCAATTGGTAGGAAGTTTTGAATTTTGCCCGAGTGGCGACCGAAGCCTACTCTTGTCCATTTTGGAATACCAAGGGATCTTTAACGTGCGCAACTTGCACACGGGGCCTCCAAGATTTCTCGCCCTTGTCCAAGAAGGTTAAATGTAATTTTACCTACCCTAAGATCATGGGTATGGCTGAAAGACAGCAGTAAGAAGAAGCCAAGGAGAAACAGTAGAAAGGCTCCATAAAAAGTCAGAAACCCAGAGGAGGGGGCAAATGAGGTGAGGGCAGAAAGTGGAGACGAAAGCAGACAATAGAAAAATGTTGGAGAGCAGCCTGCCCCTGTCTCAATTGCCCAGACTTTGTAGGGAAAAGGTTAGTGTGTGTGTGTATGTGTGTGTGTGTGTGTGTGTG